ACGGCACGAAGATGCCCCCAACAGCCGAGCTCCGCCCGACCACCTACCATTGATGACTTTATGATGGACATATTCCGACTTCACTCGAATTTCCTTAGCTGGTGGAGGCGTAAGCAGAGCCCTTATAGTAGTAACAACGGGCCCGGCTAGAGTGCATACGCAGATCTGGTCAGTTTCCTTGATCCGGCCGTTAACCAAGATGACATCAATAGTAGTACCCAAGCCCTCTATATTCTTCACCTCCAACACAGTGCATTGGAAGAGGTCCGGCTGCCGTGTAATCTTCTTAGCCATCAAAGTTTGAGTGAGTTTGACTATGAGGTACAGCAGATCGGGTACTCCCTCCCCTGTGACGGCTGAGGTAGGCACGATACTCACATCTCGGCGAACATCATGATTCTCCCAATACACAGCTGTATTGAGGCCTCGCTCCGCTAGCTGTAGTTGTATACGTTTCAGTCGATCATCGAATTCATGTTTAACATAGTCCTTCTGAGCTTTCAGACTGTCCCGCGACGGACGATTAGCTGAGGACCTCCACTGGTACAACCTGAGATCGTCGAAGTGACCGATAAGAGCGTATGGACATTTTAAAGGTGTATCTGTTGAACTCTAGTTTTTAATACGGAGGTTATCATTTCTATATTCTTTATTATATAACCTTTTATCAACATCTTATACTTGGGTATTATATAAACTAAGGTGACCTTCCAACATTGGAGTTTCACCACCCTAGTGACATGAAAAACACCAGTGGAAAATATATTTCACGACTACTGCATATCGCGTTTTTCACAGAGTATTACGCCACTTCACGTAAAACGGGTGAAACTCCAATAATAATTTATAAATCGTTTTATACATTATTTTTCCCGACTTATAAAAAATAGATCAACAACACGTGGCCGATGATAGCATCGACCCCCTGCTACCTATCAATCTTGTTAAGGGCGATGATGAAAGGACACTTCCTATTTCGCAGTAACTCTAGACTCTCTATAGTCTGTGGCTCGAGACCATGCATTATGTCGACGACCAAGATGGCGATGTCGCACAAGGAACTGCCGCGAACACGAAGGTTGTTGAAGGATTCGTGACCGGGTGTATCGATGATGAGCAGACCAGGCAGCTGAAGATATGCTCCGATCAGAACGTTTTAACACGGGGTAAAACAACCAAGATATCCTCTACCTTCAGATCGACGTTGGCTCCACGACTCGTCAGATTAACCTTATGAACGGCATCCTGCAAACTAGCCTCGGGGAAGAAAGTAGCGCCAATCTGTTGGGTAATACCTCCGGCCTCACCTAACACGTGCGGCTATTCCCCATAGACCTCCCGAGTGATGTCCACCTACCCTCCTGGACAGTAGTCCGCCGTATTTTATCCAACAGCTTAGTTTTACCAGTATCAACGTGGCCCATAATGCAGCATATGGGAGAGCGGAACTCAGAGGTGGAGGAGTCGAAAACGGCAAGAGGGTCCGCTGCTGCGAATTTGCCTGGATCAGGGCGACAAATGCCATCACCAGTAATCGAACCCACGCGATATTCCACACACATGATCAACAAATCGACATCCTATCCACGCCGCCATACAGTCGATACACCCGCTCCTACCCTTAACATCCACCTCCTCCTTCTTCTGCGGCTTGTTTTTGACATGGGTAGGATAGGCCTCCACCTTCTTATCATCATCCGAGTCTTCATCCAACAGCTCCCAGTCATCCACCGACTACACCATCACACGTCGTAACATGACCCCATCAGCCCCCCTAGGGCTACCTCAGCTTCCGACTCGCTCTTCTTATCAACGACCTCCTCCGCCTTCTCCCAATCATCGTCATCATCATCATGTGTCGTAGATACCACACGTTCCTCAACAAGCTCTCCTCGACTGGGCTGCTTCTTATGCTTATGACTCTTCTTTTTCCCATACAAGTCACTCTGCTTTTTCGGTTTATCAGTAGTGCTGTCCTCATCAGAGGCCGTAACAGCAGCGGGAAGCTGTCCACTTTCTAGGAGCATCTGCCGGTACCTGTAGGGGCAAAATCCTATGGTCAGTGATCAAGTCCAGTACGCATCAGCTTTGGCCTTCTGCTCCTTCTCCTTCTTCGACAGTAATTTACCCTCCGCCCTGAGCCTCTCCCGCCGGGCCTTTTTCTCAGCAGCCTTGCGTTCCTTCTCCTCCTGTGCTTTCCTAGCCTCCTCAGCAGCAAGTCGTTCTAGGCATACCACTCCATTGCAACTTCCTACTCCCCAACAGTACTACCCTCTTCCTCGGCCTTCTTCTGGGCCTCCTCCTCTAAGCGTTTCCGCTCCTCTTCAGCCTCTCGAGCGGCTTCAAGACGAGCTGCTGCCAACTTAGCCGCAGCACTCATCTTCTTACCGCCCTCCTGCAACAAGCATCACCATTAACTCTCCTTTGTAAGAAGCACTCGTACGGTTGCGGCAGCAGCGGCCTTAGCCTTCTTTTTCTCCCTCTTTTTCCTGTTAGCTATAGTCTTAGCATCCACGTGACTCTCCTCCTGGTTGGATAACTTCTCCTGGTCGGACATAGTAATGCTATTATATGGAATAGCAGACACTACGAGAAGCGTCCCTTGGAGCGAACCACGCCATCGAGTTCGAGCACGTTCCGAAAGGAAGTTCCATCGTTCCGATTCTCATCCGTCCAGTCACCTGATAAGACTCTCCACTACACTACGATAGAGAGGTACTGATATTCAAACCCGCCTAGAGAAAATCCAAGATTTGGACTGATAGAGTTGGACGATTT